AATTTTGCATATTATAATCACACTGTCTCAAAAATATTCAATTTTAGTGCTTAATAATATTTTCATATTACTTCTTGAACGCAATGTAAATTATTCTAACTTATTTCTTGAATATTACTAGCAAATAAAGTAGCAATTACGTATTATATAATAAGCAAATTGACTGAAAAACTCAAAAATTTGTTCATTACTGTACTATCTGAAAATGTCTGACTTGTCTACTTCAATCATTATGATTTATACACAGATTTTTTGACTGATATCATAAATTGTGAAAGAAAATTAGCATATTAACTATCGCTACAGATATATGCTTCATTTCATTTTAAATTTTTCATTTCAATTCAAAAATATTTGTCTTCTATTATTTAGCAATATATGCTTATATGATTTGTAATTGATCACAAAAACAAAATAAAAATTAATTCATTACAGTAAGAAAAAATTTAGCGAAAATAAAATTGAAACAAAATATTCTAACATTAATTCCAAAAGACTAATGCTTAATAAATTCAAGCTTTCATTACATATAAGTGCCTGTACAAGCTAGAATAATAAAATAATTTGAAATAAAATAAGTGCAAAGCATTCATAATCTTTTACCATATATTTTGTTTCTATTACATGCAAAATTATTAAGTACAAAAATATTATGAATAAATTATTCAAATATTATTTCCATGATTCACGCATTTGATTAAATTGGAGGCTAATCTACAGTTTTGATTTACTTTTTTTAATGTCTAATATTTACTTTAAAGTTCACTTCTATGTACTGTTCATTATTTACTTAATTTTCAAACTTCGTCGACAAAATTACTTTTAGTTTTTTGATCAATATTTTTGTTACAAATAAGTGTAGAATTTTTGAATAAGATTGTTTTCTAGATTGATCAAATTTAGATTAATTTAATCACTTTAATAAATTTACACTGATGGTTCATTGTTTATGCTGGTTCATTATTTTAATCAAAATAGATTGATTTAAAATAGTCGCAGAAAAAATTTAAATTATTTTTTATTCAAAATGTGAATTCGTTAGAAGGCCCAGAAATAATATAAAGTTGATAATTAATTATGTATAATTTAGAATTAATGTGCTATTTAATAAAGTAATTCAATGCAGTAGTGAAATTCATATTCAAATTCAAACGAATGAAAATAAAACAATTGAAAACAACGATATTTATTAAAATTTTTAAAAAAATTTACGCTAAAAACTCAAAAAATAAAAATTTGAAAGAATAAGAAACTGTTTGAACGATAATAATACGTTTCTCCTTTGATTACTTATTATAAAAGCTGTCTTACAAATTTGTGTCAAAAATTGGAGCAATTTTATCTGAGAGAAAATTTTAACGCGTTTGTTTAATGAACTTATTTATTATAATAATTATAATATTTTGTTGAAAAAAACACAAATTAAAAAAGGAACAAAAAAAAATTTTTCACAAATTTTTGCAGCAAATTAGCGTACACAAAATTTGACATCAGAATTATTTTTAATAGAAAAATATAATTTTGAATTTTGTTTGTACTATTTTAGAAGCAAAACAAAAATTTGGTACATAAATATGTCATATATTTTTAATCAAAATATACACAATTACTCTAAAGCATTATTTAAAAATTTTTAGCTTTTTTTTTTTTGAATGAAAAGCTCATACTTCTAGTTAGCTATTTTGAATTTTTGTTATTTTTTCGTGAAGTTTTATTTAAATAAACTTGTATTTAATTTAGCTCATACGTATTTTTATTACTAAAAAAGACACAAAATTTAGTGTTAAGAAATTATGTTCGAATGTTTAATCTTAGATGAACAAAAATGGAATTGGCAATCACATGCATAAATTTGCTTTTGATCAAAAGTTGAACAAATTATTGTCTACAAAATAGAATTTTTAATTCATTAAGATGTCAGACTTTGCTATTTTCAAGCAATTGCAAGTTTTTCCATTAAAAACAAGCAAATTGTTAATATTTACAAAAAAATGTTTCATTATTATTTTTTTTATAGCATAAAAAATTTTAACTCACAAAGGCATTCAGGCCAAATTAAAAGGAAAAGCTTAGAGGAAAGTAATTTGTAATAAAAGTTAATTTTGATGAGCAGAATTTCAATGAATCAACAAAAATGCCTTCAACTAATATTCAAGTTTAGGCATTCAAAAATACTGACTTCAACACAAAGCATACAAAAAAGATAAAATTTGAAAAGTACATAAGAGAAAAAGAATATGAATAAGCGGTTAGGACAACAAAGTAACAAAATAACAGACTTTGGCGCCAAAAATATTTCAAAAAATTAATAAAGTAATTAAGAATTGAATATTTATACTACTTTTTGTTACATTTGCAAAATTTTTCATTTAAATAAGATGTTGTAGATTTGTATAGTGTAAAAATGCAGTGAAAGTATTAATGATGAGATTTTTAATGAAATTCTTACTTTTTCATTAATCAAAATATTTAAGTAATTGAAAAAATAATTTGCATTATTTAATTATGTCAACATTATTGCTAGCACTATATGAGGTTATTCTTGATTTTGTACTAAAAATGTTAACAAATAATATGCACACTGAGTATTAATAAGCTTAATTATGACAAGCTTTCTTTTGAACAGTTCAAAGGTTAAAATAATTTATTTATTTTTCTGTTTATGAAAATGGGAGTAAATTGATGCAAATTTAGTGCATACAAAAAATCAATAAAACAATAGTTTTAAAAAGCATTAAATTAAAAAATATTCCTTAGAAAAAAACTTAGCAGAGAGTAAAATATGAATAACAAACTGATAAAAGTAATCATTTGAAAGGACAGCAGAACAGCTGTTCAAAATGCAATCATACCTTGCAGAAATATAAATGATCATCAGGAAATAACGACTAGACTTGTCTAGTATGAACATTTCTTGATCAATCACATTTCGAGCACTATTACTTTTTGATATTCTTCAATAATTTGTGATCTGATGCAGTTCATACTCTCATTACTTCATGTAAAATTATATTATTCAATTGAAAATGCAGTCATTTTTATATTATCAAGATATACAGGTATTCATTTATTTATTGCTTATATAAATATATATAAATAAATAAAATGTGGAGGTTAGTTTCAATCTTTGCTTTATTGGTTCTGGCGCTGAATCGTATTTCGGCACTCTGGCTGAACTTGTCCCGCGCTCAGATTTGCTGTACTCATCGTTCTCGCTTCGTCCTCATAGAATCCATATCGATTCTCGAAGGAGATGCTCTCGAGCGTCTTCTTGAAAACTGTCGATTGAATGTATGCATTGACGTGATTAGATAGACTGATCTCCTCCGCATAGCATTTGTGGAAGTTCGTTACAATCTCATCCCAAGTCATCACATACGGAATTATTTTGATCTTGACCCAAAGTTATCAGTAAGTAGGTCATATTTGCGTTTTTTTCTCGCTCTCGACTGCTGTCAACCTGTCCTGACTAGTAATGCCAACCTTTATCAGGATTACTTCACGTCGCTTCTTATTGTGTATCATAATATCCTGTCGATCCGCTTTTATTCTGATTGCAGTTCTCACTCGCGTATCCATTCAGATCTCAACGTTCTCAATCGCGACGACCTTCTGAACAGAATAGCTTCGCAAGCGTGGAAATGCTTTTAGACGATACTTCTTGCAGAGGCCCAAATAGGTGCATATATAAAATTTACTAATACATTACTAATCATTTAACGATTTATTAATTCAAATAATAATAGTAATAAAATATTAGAGTTAAGAAAAGAATTTCTTATAATTACCAAATTTATTACTTAGCAAAGATGCGTTTACTTATCATTTAGCATATTGTGTGCTTTTAATTTATTCAACTCGAAAACAAAAAATGCATTGTCATATGAAAAAAATAACTAATCACTCTGAGCAACACTTTTTCATACAAACATAATTGGTATAATACTATCATCAGATAAAGATTAAATCAATCAAAGTCATGCAACATCCTCATTACAATTAACAAAGATACAAAGTATTCAACTGAAACATTTTTAAATCATCAACAAAAAATAACTTAAGATTTGCTGGAGAAAAAAACGAAAGAAATAAATTAATCTTAAAATAATAGTAACACTACTAAAACTTCTAAAAACTCTGCATACTTATTTTGTTGTAAATTCGAAATTGTGGCCACTTATCAATGATAAACAATCATTCAGAAGTGTATACCCTTATCAAGAAGCATTATTCAGATGCTTTTCACACTTTAGCTCTCAACAATCACTCAAGCAACAGAATGTGAAACTTTTGCATTTAATTATTTATAAGAAAAAGTTTCAATCTTTACAAATAATAAATAATATCATTTATCATATCAATTATGTGATGGGCTAGGCTAGATTGTTCATTGCAATGTGTTAATTCCTCTTCTCCTCTATCTAATTTGGTATGAAAAATATTAAGTATAATTTAATTTTTATTTTTTATACTTTGCTATTTTTCAAAGTGTCACTTCTGACTTCTCCACACTTATTTTACACTATACTTCAATAAATAACATTGAAGAAGTGTTAATATATATCATTTTTGATTAACTTTTGTTTGTTATTCATTTTCCATTCTTTTCGCTACTTGCATGCTTTTATATCTCTCTCATATTATTTACAACTTTTTTTCCTTCTCTTCTCATACACTTATACTTCATCAAGCCCTCATATTTTTCTCATATTCCTATTTCTCTCAGTTTACACATTCTTTTTGTTTTCTGTTAAAACCTGATTAAAAGTTGATAAAATGAACTTTGTTTATAAGAGGTACAGACAACAAAATTGTTGTGTAGTGATCAGACGCATATTAGATTCTGAAGTATTTTTGTTCGAATCTAGTGGTATTTGATTCTTGCAAGCGTAAACGTGTTGGTCATTCGCTCATATAGTGGTCATCGGTAGCAGCTCACGAGATCATGCAAGAAAAATTTCTTAAAAATATGACATGTTTCAGATTTCTGCTGTTTCGTTATGGTACTACTGCGAAGTGTCGTAACTTCTTTTCGTCTACTTCACACGTCGCGTTATGCAGGCAGTAAGTGATTTTTGGCGGTTACTTCGAATTTGTTTCGGTATTCGAAAGGTTAAGTTACTATATCAATACTTATGGTAGGTTTGTTCTTTAGAAAGAGGACCTTTAACAATAGATGGTTGGTTTCCTCGTGACCACGCTCCGGATGAATATCCAAAAAATGAAGAGGAACGACGAGCTGCAGCCATCAAATATGGGATGAGGCCAGAAGATTACAAGTTTGTTTCGTTATTGCCTGTAATTTTAAATACCTCTTTACCACTTTAAATAAGTCACTTTTTCAGTTGAAAAATACACTAAGCTATTATATATACTGATCTTCTTTTGCAGACCGTATGACAAAGATGATTATTATAAATATGCCGGAAATTACCCGGATTATGGTTGTGTAACATATGATCACAAGGACCCACATGAAAATTGGAGCGATCCTCATTACAGAAGAAATTGGGGTGAAGGTGTTAGTCATTTAAATGATTCAATTTCTTAGTTGAAAATTTGTTTCTTCATTTATTGCATATATGTCAAACTAATTTTTGCTAAGATTACTTTTGCTATACTTGCTGAACTAAATTATTCATATTTCTGTAACATATTTTTACTCATTGCAAAATTCTGTTGATCAAATAGAATTAGGAATAGTTATCCATATTGTTAGGGACTAGTGCTCTGCGAGTTTTTAAGCATTCAATTAAGAACAGAATGATTTTGATATGTTATCTGTGATGATGAAGATTCTTAGAAATCTCATGGATGTGCTACTTTGATTTATCTGTTAAGGATTGAGAAGAGTGTCTGCAACATCCTCATTTCTGGGGATGAATATATTTCCAATTTTATCTTGCTTGATGTAGTGGGCACAATTCGAATTAATGAATTTCAGCTCGAAATTCACGCAATTATGCATACTAGCGATCGGGATTCATATAATAGTCTCAACGATGAGGAAACTTCTTTGTATGCTTTTTCTGTACCTTTTTGAATTATATGGAGTGTAGTGTGTAGTTACTCTTCAACACAGTGACAAATCTTGGGATTTCAGATGGACCAACACGGTAATTTTGTGCCGTCACTTAATACCAGCACTACTTTTCTGTTGGTTTTCAATTCAAACATGGCCTAAAGGTCGAAAATGGAAAAACGATGCTGTAAGTTCACTGCATTTTTAAACATGAGAATAGTCATGAATTCCATATCTTATTTCTTTTAACAGAAGTTTTTAAGTAGTTTTTTTCATAGATTTGTTTGATTTTGAACAGGATATTGTTTTTAGATGCTGAAGCAATATCCTTACGATATCAAGCGAGCATATCCATTTACTGATCCACGTATTTATCCTATTACCAATTATACTTTCGAACCTTTAGATTAATGGTTGGAAGTTTCATGCATATGAAATAGTTAAATCTGGTTTTTTTTTAACATGGTTTACATCATGTCGTCGTCTGTTCATAACGTCAGAAATTGTGTATTGCATTAGTGAACTCTTTTTTAATAATTACGGAAGTTGTATGCTTCATATATATTTGTATAGTGTAAATGTGTCGTAATAAATTGTTATTAGTTATGCGTCTTTATCATCTAAAATTGTTGCGCTTCAAAGAGGTATTTTTTTCTGCTTACACTGTATTCAGAAAAGAGCATATTTTTTTAGTTCGGATCAGTCAAGTTTACCGGAATCACAACTGCTTTCTCTTCCAGAAAAAGTCTTTCACTGCTAAATTTATTCCATTATCGAACAGTCGTACTTTTGCTGCTGCACTGTCGCTAAACTCTTCCTGCTCACGTGATTGATAGATGATAAATTTGAAGAAAGAAGATACTTTATTTTGGACGAATCTTCAGATTTTATTATTCATTCTCTTAGGACTACAGTCTGCCAATAAAGATAGTTTTATTTTCACCATTATTTTTAGTTGATAATACTGATAAATTGCTGAAGATTGTTTGAAGTACTGCTGATTTCCTTGTCTGTGTAAACAAGCAATTCAGAAGATTAGAGGTTATTATTAATTTTATTATCCTACTTTTATTCGCAAACTGATTCGAAAATTATGGAGTAGTATTATTCGAGTTACAAGAACTTAGAAATGCTATATTTGGAGGATTTCTTAGAATGTAAGTTAAGTCATGCTTAAGACATTGATTCTCGTGTTTTTGAAGTTGCTTTTACAAGAATGCAGTCATTCTTTCAGTACTTGATCAGTTACCAGGAGAGCTAAGAGATAGAAGTACTGAGGTTCGGATGTTGGACCTCCAAGCGCAGCGTGAGTGCTTTAAGATTTCCATTTTCTTTTTGGTTGAAAATAATAAGTCCGGAACAGTTGCATAAGAAATGTCCTATTCTCTTGTATCCTCACCTTTTTTGTATAGGCGAAGAAAGGAACAGGGTAATACACTTATGTGAATTCTCAGTTTTAGAAATGATGCAGTGTATTATTATGCTAGGTCTGGACTTCGTCTGTGTATAACTCAAACGTGTTTTTCCAGAAATGCATGAACGAGCGAACAAACAGAGAGACGAATTTTTTTCTGCTGGTAGAAGTTTTCCTCAAGACGCAAGAGTAAAACATTATAAAGATATTACGGAGGTTTGTTGTTTACATTGGAGATGTAATGTATAGTAATGTCAGAGCTATGCACACGTTGGTGGAATTTTTAATTCTTATAGCTCTATAAACAAACGAAAGCGCTTTCGGATGAGAAGGTAGCTATCTTAGATATATGTCATTCATTGTTGGTCAAGTATAGCCAGAAATTAAACAAGGAAATTGTAAATTTCAAGCTAGAACTGGAAGCTGATAATCCAGGAATTACTGAGCAGATCGAGAAAAGTGAGCATTAACTTCTTTTCTTCATTGGTTTCAGTTTTATTCGCTACTTTTTTTTGATGTATTCTTTTTTTTTCTTTCAAACGTTAGTTTAATTTGCAGAGTTCAATGATGTTCAAAAAAGTATTTTTCATCAGCGCAAAGAACGTATGTTTACCATATTTATGCCCTGCTAAAAAGTTGATGGACAAAAAGTATGTAAAGAATTTCGAATCGAAAGCTGTTTTTTGTAATTACAGGAAAGCGAAAATGTAAAGATGTTAGTGCTAATATTGCTAGCTCAATGAATGGAAATTCAAGTCAATTATCTGAGACGTCAAGTTCATTACGTGGACAGCGAGGTCTTAGTTTTTGTTTTTGTTTTTCTTATTATTATCTGTTGGAAATTCTGTGAGCATTTTTTTAGATTTATATTTGTTGCATTTATGATATCTGTTAAAATATAAAATTTTCATCATTTAAAACTGAATTTTAGGACAGCTAGATAGAACAAATCGGGACTTGGGTTCTGATTCGACTTCTCAACAGCAAAATGCAAATCATTCATTAGGTGGGGCACAAGAAGAGGAATCAAATAATCGAATACACAACTCTGGTGGTGAACGAAATTCAGATTTTCCTCAGCTGAAGGTAATTGTGGTGAGTTGACTGGAATAGCGACCCTATTGCTATATTCGCTTGGTCAGAATAATGCGAAATCTTTTATCTATTATGTACTGTGAAGTACTAGAAATGAATTACTAAGATTTTCGATTAGATTTAAATAAATTCAGTTATGAACTGAAACCAGCAAACTTTATTTCAAGGCACTCAAGAGTAAAATAAGCTAATTAAACACTGACTCCATAATAATTCAGTTTATAAATACTTCTTGTCATTATCAACAATAAGTTTACACTTCAAAATTTATTCGAATTCGTATCAGGGAATACTATTCTGTCTTTTAATGGTAGCGTTAATTGAAAGCAAACAAACGTTGCTAATTTCACTGGACATTTTTTGAATTTTTGTGCCAAAACATTTAGTAAAGCAGTTGTAAATTGCTGATATCATAAAAAATTTATGATTCTAGTCTTTTTCATGGTAACATTTACTTAGTTTTATGGATGTTTTTATTACTGTTCAATACTCCTTAGCTATTTTCACTTATCAGTATTCGTGCTTCCGATTTAATAGCAATGTGAAATGAAAAAAATGGAAGTATTTTTTCTAAGAGGCCGATTTCTAATTTATAGGATGACATTACAGATTTTTTGTAAGTAATCGTAGTTCTTTTTAGCAATGATTAGTAATGCTTAATAACATCGTAGTCAACAGTTCTAGAATCGCAAACAGATGCCAAACATAGTTATTCGAATACAAAAAAGGAAATCAAGATTTTATGCAACTGGCGGAGAAAAAAGGAATTTTTTGTTTTCATTATAATTGTATACTATTGGTTATTAACATTCATCTTGGAGTTACTTCTTTCTTATGACGGATGTAGAAATGAAAGTTATTGACACTACTGCCATGTACTAACTTTAACTTGACTATTGATAGTTATTAGCTGCTAGTGTTTTCATTTCTTATCTTTTGTAAAATGATCGGATCCTCTTTCTATGTGTATTGGGATTCCAATAATTGTCACTATATGTTTGGAAAATTGATTAGTCGCTTGTGCTTAGTTTTCTAACTAAGAAGGGAAGCACTTTTTTAACGTTACGTGAACATTTTTCACTTTGTAGTACTCTTGTTGTAAGGAATACCGTAACATTATCAGACTTCCTTAGTTGATTATTTTCAATGCCTAAACTCACTGAGTTAGAAGAAAGCAATGTAGATTGTTTCGGTAGTTTTTGTAGAAGTATAGAATTTTCAGCAAGTAAAGCATACGTCAAACATTAGAGATTGCTGCTACTAATTTAAAATTTTCGTTAAAGTCTAAATGTTGTATTCCCTGCATGGCTGCCAAATTTTAGATAATTTGATATCAGAAAGTTTTATGGATTTTCACTCTATATTTATTGCTTTTGCTTAGAAATAAAATTTGCAGAAACGTTCACTCGTCAATTCTCATAAAAATGGTATTGTCAACAACTCTCATTCATCATCTACAAATCAAGCTCAACTTGTGTCAGGTATTGTTCATTTCAGTATTGTATCTGGAAGTTTTGTGTAGTTTGTGTGTTATGTAACAAAGTTATAAACTCATCTTGCTTTTAGAGTAAACTAGTTTTTAAAAAATTTCAATAATTTAATAGTAATAAATTTTAAGGTGAATTCATGATAAAAATAAGTTCATAAAGTTTTTGCGCCGCAATCTTCAGACATTATAAAGTCATATTACTTTACTCTAGTTAAGCAAGAATTTATTTTCTTATATAAGATTTATTTTTTGAATTTTTTGTTAATTTAAAAGAAAAATTCGAAGGCAATGGTTTAATTATATCAAATTCAGTTCAGTCTGGTTCTTCGCAGGGGCAGTACTCGATGCATTCTTCGAAAAACGTTTCAAGCGCTAGCGTAAGAAATTAATAAATCTTCAAAGTGTTTGATGTTTGTAACCTCTGCTTTCAAATTTTCTCATAGTATTCATTAACATTTCATTATTTCTCACTTAAAAATTTCTCAAATGAAACAACCAAAATATAACCATCCTACATATGTTCACACATTGTGGACATATTGCTTTCTCATATAAATTTATTAAGTCATTACATTATGTCATATCTTTTAATGAAAATGGGTTACGACTTGCTCATATTTTACATGATAGTTTAAGAATTGATAACAACATGCTTTTTGAGTGGAGGTGGAGTTTGCATAATATCTTTGATAAGGACTTCATTAGTTTCATCATTCTAGGTGTTACGTTGAGACTCTTCAGTTATGTTAAGCTGAAAGTGTCCTGTATTGAGAATTACTCGTGTTTAAGTATTTTTTTGCTTTTTCATGCAGTTGTCCAGAACTTAGAGTTGGTTTCATTGATTTTGACTACAATAGTAGACGATAAAAAATATAATAAATATTTAAGATGAACAATGCTGGAACATCGGGGCATGCTGCTCATGGATCACAAATGATGTCACTAGCTGCACAAGAAAGTCGACATGGTCGCCCGAGGAAGTAATTCTCTCAATTTTTGTAGGATCAATCAGTATTCTTTGAGTCCTGTGTGGAATTTGTTTTGCTCAACTTCAATTTAAATTGGTTTTTAATTAATTTTTTTCATAGATTAACGTCTAGAGCTCAAGAAATGTTGTATACCATGCAGCGCCATGAACGTCGTGCGAGGAGCCATACTTCACACTCACCAGAGCAAGCTCAAGGAAGTGATGATGAATCTGATTCAGATCGACGTGTTTGGTGTTTCTGCCGTGAGGTAAATATCATTGCTATTCCGATCACTTTATTTTTCCAGTTACGAAATATGGTAACTGTTTTATTTTTATGTAATAATAATTTTGAAATAATTTCATAATTTTTCAGGTTGATTTTACTTTATTAGATAGAACAGTTTTTCTGATCTCATTCATGTTTAGTTTTTCAAAGTAAAGTCAAGTAAATAAAAGGATGCTAAAGAGAGATTAATTGTTAAACATGTACGATTTCTTCCATCCTACTCATTTTTTGATGGTAGTTATTTGAAAGGTGTTTTTTGAGAAATTTTGTAATCATGTTGCATTTATTCATTTCTTACTATGGGAAGACAAACTAATGAGCGTTTATAAAGTCAGTTTTTTTTCATTATCAGTCAGTTATATAGAAGTCAGCAGATGCTACTATAAATAGAGAAACTGAATCAGTTTTCTTAATTATATACGTATGCGAAATAAAACTTCAATCTTGGTATGATTATGAAGAGTTTGTCCTTTTATATTCATTTAACGATTAACTTGCATGATATATCCAATAAATATTTATATATCATGTAAAGTTGTTCATATATAAATATGCAAGAAATGGAAATAATCTTTTTGGTTTTTTTCTTTTGATTATTTAAAACCTGTGATTCCATGATTGAAATTTTTGTCCTATTTCATATATATCACGTATCGGTTTTCTGTGTTATTCCTTTACTGTTGTAAAGGATAATATGCAGTAAATTTATAAAACTTTAAATAGTCGCAATCATTTATATTAGAGTAATTGAAGAAAATATGGGAATTGTTGTTATGAGATACAGAAAATGGAAGAGGTTTAAAAATCTTTGACGTTGGTTTCCGAAATTTTTCAAAGATTGTGAATTTAACTGGATCGTTATGTAAAATACAGTTATTATTTTTTGTTGACTGAAATTCATACTTTTTTAGACTCAATGTTTTGCATAAAATTTGCTGAAATACCATTTGTTAAAATTTTTCATTATAAATATCTGAAAATTCGGAATTGTTTTATTTATGAGGGTTGTAGTCAGTATAGTTTGGAATTGGAAAAGTGCTACACTAGCCTTGGATTTTTATTCCAATACTTTCTAGAAAGGATATGGTTCGATGATTGCATGTGACAACCCAACGTGCCGTTACGAATGGTTTCACTATGGTTGTGTTAATGTCACTGAAAAACCTAAAGGAAGATGGTACTGTTCAGAATGCGCACCAAAACAGGGATCCGGGGATATAGTTGTCGCAAACAAAGCATAAGGTTCATTGTTTGCGTTATTATAACTCATTCTAGAATTTTATTAATTCTCATATATTGTTCAGTAATGTGCTGTAGGATTTAAATTCTTTCGTTATGATTTATTTTTTAAACAACTCTATTGAGTCATTAATGAGCATATATTTATTTGTATAATTATATTGTCAATTTTTGACTCATTACACGCTTCATTTTATCATCATACAGTAGTTCTTGTATTTTTTTATGCTGTAATTTTGCGTATGTTAATTTTTTTCATTTGATTTATTCTGTCGTTGTTTCTTTTAGCTTACCTCAGATTTTTTCGTAATGGATAGCGCAAAACGTATGATTCAAGGGTATGAGAACAAAGGTAATTTGAAAGTTGTTCAATTCTAGTTAGTCATTTCTAAATACTGTAGTAGTTCAAGTTGCGATATCATTAGTTAGCTGATTAGTATTGAAATGTTTCTTTTCAAAATGAAATTCTTTAATCCAGATCTTTAACAGAATCTTTAATACAGGAAAAATATTATTCATAATCTGTTGCTAACAATAAAATTCAAGCATTTCTTTTATGATTAAAATTTGGAAATCACTAACAATTGTTACTCCGTGTTTTTGCAGTTATTATTTTATGTAATCTACTAATGTTATATTGCTCATAAGATGATGCTGTATGCTTTAATAGTTTTATTACTAATCAGACATTTTTGTATGAGTGATATCGTCATAATTATTTGCACTTGGTATCAGTATTCCAAATTATTTGCCTTTAGGATTTGTGATGGTCATTGAATTCCTTCCTGTATTTCTATGAATAGTTCTTTTGCAGGCAATTTGTTAGTCGTGGAGCTCAAATTATATCAAGTTTTATGGAAATAAAACAGCATTTTATCATTATGAGCATTTAGAAGAATAATTTTTGAGGAATTAAAACATAGAGCCCATCATTTTTTGATTTTTAGTATTCCAAATATTTAATAAAACATTTAAGCAAGGACTTGAAATATTTAGTAATATCTATATATATATTTAAACAAATCCACAGTATTATATTTGTCGTTAGCATAGAGACAATTAACTGGTGTGGTCATAATATCAAGCAGCAGGTGTTTCAGCTCTATTTGAATATGAATGGGAATTTATTATAAGAATCGATTAATTTTGGGTTACAAATCATTGTTTGATTAGCTCAGCTGTGAATTAGCTGCAAATATGACAGAAAGTCGGGTTAGTGTGACGGCGAATACTACTGGTACTTGAGTAAAATCTGTGTTATTATTATTTTTTATTCCCTTGTATTATACTTTGCAAATGACAAGGAGTATTGGTAAATAATTTATCAATATTCCACTCATAAGTGTTATGAGTGAAGTATCGATAAACTAATAGTAAGCAAATTTAAACAACATGACAATGCATGTTGCAGGAATATAAACATGTTACAAGTGATGACTTATTCGATTTGAGTACAACGGTGAGTTTTTTAAAGCATTCAGTGGTTAATATATGATGATTATCTTATCAAGATGAAAATTATCATATTACTTATGGTGATAGTTGAATTAAGGAAAAACGAAGTATAGCTCGTATTGAGATAGTGTGTTGAAATTACAATAATTCTTGTGTATTACCATGTATGAAACATGTTTAAATCCACTACTATAAATTACTTTCCGTAAACTATATGCAGTGCCATGCTGCATTCACTTAAAGTTCTTAAACTTTTCTAGATGGTTATATCTATAAACGCTCATGTTTTGCAAAAAATTAAAAAGGTCGATCCCGTGAGTTCAAATTATACTTCAGTGGATATTATCAACTTACTTATGGTTATTAGTTTTAGTAACAAGAAAAGTTATCCCTGCTAATTGTGTAGTAAAATACATTTATGAAAGTCAGTGATAGAAAATAAAACATTATATGCTTGATTTCTTAATTATAAAACAAACTTCTCTTATTTTCAGTATGTTAACTCCTTATTACTAGCTTAGAAATTCTTTACTACAGACTTTGAATAAAACAAAACCAGAAATGATACATTTTAATCAATATGAAGAAACTAGCAAACCTACTTTATCTCAGGTACTTTGCAAGGTTTTATTGACTCTAATTTCGGTACGATCTGGAAAGTAAATAATTACTAATGTTATTATCTATATTGAACAAATGTTACTACTATCCAGTTACTATAAGTTTTTTCAGTTTTATGTCTCTATTAGATTCTCTATATTTTTTATCTTTATATATTGGATTTTGAATGCCTCACTGATTATCGTTATAATAACCGACAGAATTAAACGTCTTTTGAACATGCTACTGGAACGTTCTGATCAATCGAAAAACAAAGTATTTCTAAATAGAAGTTTCTCAAGATCTTTGCTGAAAACAAATTCATTAAATATAATGCTCAAAAACAGTTTGCTGATGTTGTAAAATTAGTAGTGAAATCTTTGCTCTTAACAGTGCAGGAAATCACAACAAATATGGAAATGTTACGCGAATTATCATGGATACAATCAAGAAGTATGAATGAAGAATATCTACATTATAGGGTACGAGATAATTTCAAATCAGATAGGGCAACAGAAAGTTATTTTTTATAAACTTTATTTTTTCTAAAAATTTTGTGACATAGTATTGCAAAAGTATTCCCTGAAATTAGTTGACCTGTTTTTATAGTCGTTTTCTGGATTTTAGGTGTAAATTTAAGATCTACATGTTTGAAAGTCATTTCATATAATTTATGCTTTATAGTGTAGTAATATACTATTTATTGTGCAGGCGTGGAATGATATTCGCATTCAATTTGCACCAAATAGAGAAGAAAAAGTTGAGGCACTTTTCCCAGATGATTTTTATGGTACAACTATTGCAGAAAATGCAGAATTTGGGGTAAAAATCTTTTTGAATTTTTTAATGTTTATTAATTACAATTTATGAGTATCTTCTCAGCATTAAAAAATTGTAATTTCAGATTTCCGATCTTTTTTAATGATTAAAAATTTTCATTTTTTCAATATTAAAGTTCTTTCCTTATTCGTCAGTCATTAATCATATACAATTGTTTTTCTTATTTTCATTGATGCTTTTAAACATGATAAATGAAAAAGAAAATCACTCACAAATGCAAGCATGCGATAATTCCAATCACTAAAAATAATGTCAGACTCTAAATTCTTGTCCATTGCTGTTGTGGAAGTTTTTAATTTTAGTTGGTATTAGAAGACGAAAGATCCGAATTACGCTTACCAATATTAACGCAAAGAGAACGTCAGCTTCTTGGAAAGTTCAGAGTTAAATCTCTTTAACATGCATTATATTCTTTCCTAGATTTTCTGCTTGGAAACATCGATATGCTTTTCGTTGTTGATTTATTGTTTACAGAAAAACTTTTGATTGTTTTATGAAGCTTTTTAAATAATATTTTGGTTTTATTTTAATTTTGTCATATTTTGTCACATTTAAAAACATTGTTATTTCCAATTTCTCAATCTACTGAAGTATTGCCGTATTATTGCTAGTATTAACTGTATGCTACATGCTCAACATAAAGTCCATCTCACTACTAATTTGTCAAAAAGTGTTTTTGTTGTATAAAGCTAGAGGATATATTCTGCTGTGGGTTTTAAAAAGTGGTAACTGAAACAAAAACAAAGATTGTAAAATTTGGAGGGAGTGATGTGATTGACATTGACCCACATGTTGGATGTTAATTTTTCATGGTACCCGTTTCGTGAATGTTGCGTAGTATTTATGGTTTGAGATCTTGTGTGTAAGACAGTTTATGCATGTTATCTGTTTGTACTGGGTTACCTACTCGTTTTTTAAAACATAAGTTTCAGCATTTTTAGAATCCAGAATTATAAAATGGACTTTATTGATGGCTGGTTCTCAGAACTGTCTCCTGATGAACTCGCTAGTGGTTAATCTTCATACATTTTTATCATATTTTCATTTGATTCATTCTGAATACGTTTAGTAGTTTTGATTTTCTGTGATATTGAAATTAGTGCGAAATGAATTTTCGCGCAAGTCGATTGAGAAATGATGCTATATATAAGACTTTGAAAACATTATTCTTAAGTAATCTATCAAAGCGTTAGCATATAATCTTTTATCAGTTTTGCACAAATTAGTTTTGATCTTTTTTCATTGTTCGCAGTAATTATTATGGTAAAGGTTTACTGCAGAGAATGGGAAGAACTTGGGACTGCGTGATAATCCTTGGCATGGACAAATGTTTTCGTTGAGAGTTAAGAAAGTGTTGTATCATGCTCGAAGTAAATATCAAGACGTTTTGGTTTTTGAAAGGTTTTAGGTGGCAAAGCTGCCTTTTCCTATTTCTAGTTTTTACTATTCTTAATGGTTGATTTTTGGTGTTGAAAAGAATGCTAGCATTTTTTAAGATACTATTACACTCTGTAAAATTTATTATATTCACAGTTATAATTTTATCTCTTGCAGCAGTACATATGGCAAAGTATTAGCTCTTGATGGTATAATTCAGTGCTCAGAACGCGATGAATTTGCTTATCAAGAAATGCTTGCTCATTTGGCTATGTTTTCTCATCCAAATCCTCAAAATTTGGGTTTTTCTAAATTATATTTCATTTTTATCTTATTTTTTTATATTAAACATGTTGAGATATCCTAGTTAGTAAATTTTTGGGTCGAAAATTCATACTTTAAGATCAGTTTCAACTTCGTATAATTTATTTGGAAGCAGTAGTACATTCCGCTCTTTTAGAGCAGTATGTGTAGTTCCAAAATCTTTAGTTTCGTAAAACTAACTTCTTGATAGCTATTTAAAAATTTTGATTTGGTTTTTTTTAGGTGCTTGTTGTTGGTGGTGGTGATGGTGCTATTTTGAGAGAAGTACTAAAACATAGTACTGTCGAGTCAGTGACTCTATGTGAAATTGATGAAATGGTGGTAGATGTTTCCAAAAAACATCTTCCACAAATGTCTGTAGCATTTGGCGATCCAAAGTGTAATGTTATTTATTGCAATGGTGCTGAATATATAAAAGTGAATTTTTTTTAATATTATTTTTTACTATATGCAGAAATAATATAACTGCTCTATTGTATCATACTTAAAAATACTGTTCTGTGTGGAAACACTTTATTATTTAAGAAACACAAAGATGAATTTGATGTTATCATAACTGATTCATCTGATCCAATTGGTCCAGCGAAAGAACTCTTCGGTAAAAATTACTACATGTTGATGAAGGAAGCTTTAAAAGAAGATGGAGTATTTTCTTCTCAAGGTAAATGTATGCAGTCAATCATCTTTTCATCTATTAATGATTTTTTTAATAATCTGAACAATATTTCTGTACTGATGTGACTTCATGAATTATTAATAGTAGTATTAAATACTCCTACCTTTTACAGGTGAGTGTCCGTGGCTAGATTTACAGCTGATCAGAGGTCTTTTCAAACTCGCCAAAAATTTATTTCCTCATGTTGCTTATGCTATCGGATCTGTCCCCACTTACCCTTGTGGACAAATTGGATATCTTATTGGGAGCAAAAATGGAGTTAGTTCTAGTCCTTACACGGTTTTGATGTTTTAATTTGTATTCTTAGAATTTTTCTAAACATAAAGGAAACTGAAAATAATGATTTAAGAACCATGATGTCACTGTACCACTGAGAGTGCTATCGGATTCTGATGTCAGAAGCATGAATCTCAAGTATTATAATTCAGACGTACATCGAGCTGCTTTTGTTCTGCCTCAGTTTATCAAAGAGGTTGTTCTCAGTTTTGTTCTTTACATTCATGTTAATTAAATTTCCTTGCTTAAATGAAGTATAATTCGCGGTTGGAAGCTTCTTGTCATTGATACAATAAATCTGCGGTCATGACAAAGTAATGACGTCATGATGTGCAAATACTTTTTAAGGGTGAAAATTTCAGAAAAAATACTTAAGATATTCGTAACCGTTGTTTCAAAAAATTTTCAGGCTTTATCGATTTGAAGGAATTTGGATGTGGTGGTATGTTGATGAGTATTCTTGAAAAATTCTGGTGATGAATGAAGACTGGTTGAACTTTTATTTTTATTTTGATGAGTATTCGTACGTATTTGTGAAGGCTAGAATCATAATATATTTTCTTTAAGTTGATTCTCAAATACGTACGTTTATTTCATTTCCTCAAGTTGTTATATCCGTAATGTATGAATTTGTAACCAAAATTACATATCTTTGAGTTCGATATTTGCTTTCGTATTTGTTATTTATTTCCAGAAAATCATAAAAATTGACGTTGTGTATAAAAATGCGAACATATAGACGACCCGTTTCGTGACATTTGTACAATGAATTATAAGAGAAATAAGTTTTTCAATAGGATCATAATAAATGTCGAAGCTTGCAGTGAGATCCTAGTTCCACATTGGTTCTGTATTGCTTTGCTGGTGGTAGTTACATCATTGGATTTGAAGTTGTATTCTGTCACAGTTGGGTCTGTAATTTGGAACTGTTAGTGAGTGAACTTGTGTATGCTTATGTACTTAAGTTAATAGAGTGATGGTGCAACTGATTTAATTATCAGGAAATCCAACAGTGTTCTTTTTTTTAAATTTAGGAAATTATGGGTTTAATTGTGTTCTATTCCTAGGAGATAATTATGTGTGACTTTTCTAGAGATTGAGTCCTGAATAAGTGCTTAGAGATTTTAATTTTTTGAAAATTTTACTATGTGCAGAGTGTTGGATTTTCATTATAAAGCAGTAAATAGCTTACATACTAGGGTAGAAGATATATTTTTAAAAGTGTTTCACAAAATTTGAGCGGAGTTTAAAAAGCGCAGAATGAATAACTGAGCTACATTAAAAGATGTCAAAGATTTACAGCCTGTTCCTGTCACGTAGTATTTCGTCGTTGTTTCGGGTGCTGAAGTAAAGGTTAGGTTACGAACTAAGAGCTACTCAAATTTTATTTTACTGAAACAGCTCTAATGGTATTTATTGCCATTTGTATGAGATTTCCATCATATAAAATGAAGTGAACCGAACTCAACATTAGTTTTCATTGTTGTTTTTCCTTTTTCTACTTTTATTCTGCTGAAGGCATGAGAAGTGAAATAAATAAATACTAATAAGAGAAGGAAGATGAATACTCCTAAAATTAACTTGGTTTTCTTGCTGCTTTGAGTAAGTAACATTAAGCAAACTTGAAATGAACTGACCTTGATGGATGGTCTCATCATGGTAAATTGTTTGCGCTGGTGCATCCCATGACACTGACAGGACTACTAAATTCATAAACAATAAATTTTCTTCCTTTTTTTTAACTGTAGTTACTTTTTTTGAAGAGCATTACATCTTACACTCAGTTTCTGACTATCACTATTACATATTGATTATGAACGAAATTTTTACTGATAGATTGTTTTCTTATTTGTTAGTTGGTAAGGATGTGCAAAGTATTTGATCAAAAGTATATGACAAGAAGAAGCTACCTTTGAGCTAACTGTATAATACTAGTAAAGTTGTGAATAAATTAAGGCAAACAAGTATAATATTATAAATTCAGATGATTATGCATTTTAAAAAAAATTCACGGATCTTAATATCCAGTAATTCACAAATATTTGCAGTAAATCTGTTTCACATATTTAAATCATTAACTACCGCAGAGAAAGAATGTAATATGTTAAGGGAAGATTTTCTGATTCTTTTTTTCAATTAATAAGACAATATAGCAGCTAGTAGCCGTTTGTGAATAAGAGGTTTTGCAGAAACTGATAATTACCACAAACTAGTTCTATGTTACACATTTTAACTATTAAATTAATTAATAATATGTCATGGTACTAATTACATTTTATATTTATTTGTATTTTTTTAAATATTTAAAATGCATCAATGATGTTAATAAAATAGGAATTACAAAATTAAGGTAAAATATAAGAAGTAAAAGAAACAAACCTTTGAAAGGAACGATGAATACTATTGACATAAGTAGCAAAGATGTTGTTGATAAAGCATGTGGAAGTAATGAATACATCACAAAAAGTTTATCTTACTGTTTGGTAAGTATTGTTGTAAGTTAAGTTAGCAATATTATCTTCACCTTGTGAATATTGTTGGAGAAACCAGCAAGATGTAGGAATGGTTGCTACTTAATATCGTTGATTCGCTCATACAAATAAATATATGCCATGAATTGCCTTGAGGACGATGCATGTGTGTGCATGTGTTCTATTTGTACCGCTCACTTTCATGTCAAAAATCATCATTACTATTGTCATCATCTAATAATGATTATATCGTTACAATTAACATCAATTATTATACTTCATACTATATAATTACTATTTTGCTGCTGGATACAATTTTATTATATTGACTTTCCTATTTCTATTGTGACTATTGATATATTTTCTGTAATACAAAATTAATTTAAAATATTAAAAAAATACTCACTCAATATATATATATATATTAGATGGATAGATAGATAGATCACAGTAGAGATATCTTAGATAGATAAGTAGATAAATAGATATCTCTCTCTATATATAGATAAGTAGATAAATAGACACATGCATAATAAAGAACAAAATGTCTTGCTGATGACAACTGCATAATTAAATTAGTTCATTGATATAAGATAGAGATAATTTTAATCAGACAAGCACACACTTCAGAAAACATTTTTTGATTACATGATGCACATATCAACACTATTATTTGTCCACTTTTCTATTGCTTCGCAAAAATAATAAAATTTGAAATTCATTTATTCAACCATTACTGTCTGCCTGATGAACAGTGTATCACTGCTGATTTCTACAGTATACAATAGTGTAAATATCTGACCTTACTATTACACATGACACGAAGCATCACCTTTGCTTAGAGACAGCGCTACTAAGTGAATTCGAATTGTGTTCCTTTCTTACAAAGTCAACATTTGTAAAAACTTATGATTACAATTACTTCCAACTGTTGATATCTTAAAATCTAGTCCCACGTCATCTTTACTGCAAAATACTTCCAAGCGTGCAAAGAATGTCTTTCTACACATAATATCGTAGTTATGCAGTGAACGCAAATCCCTTCTGCAAATGAATAATCTCTAACAAAAAGCAGCAATCTGAATTCCACGCACTTCCCTTCCAGTGGCAAACGCAACCAATTATGCAATGAATGTATATGCGCCTGGTTATCTATCGATATATGTAGATTCCGTTAATTATTCTTTATCTATCCTTGACTAGAAATTATCAGTTTCAATACTGACACTACGTAGCCTATTTGAACTACTTCTTTTATGCAGAAATGAACAAACGGAATACTTTATAATAAGCGAAGAAAATAATAATACACTTTATTCCTTATAAACTGACAAAGAACATGCATAAGCAACATATATAGCAGAAGAAGAACGAAAAACTTGCTAACATCAGAAGAAATTTTGAGAAAAAAAATATAATAAAGCATAAAAATATGACGAAGGCAATTTACCGGATTAATATAAATAAGAAAATTGAGATTGAAAAAATGAAAAACACAATTGTTTAGACCGCATATTCACAAATTTATACAAATAAATTCTTTACGTGATGAAATATGAATAAAAAGTAGATGAGCTAAAACAAAGTTCATGTTTTGAAATATACTAAAAACCGAAACCGGAGCCTTCCGTTTTCCCAATCGTAATAGACCAGAGGTTAAAGTTCATAAAAATGATATATATATAAGGGAGAAGACTAGCCGAGTTCTCAAAGCTACTTTGACTCTAGCATAATTGACGAAAAACAGCTCCCCAAACGCTCGTGAAAACAAAAATTAGAAGAAATTTGAAAACAGTAAAAGCTATAGAAGTAATTACTCGATATCAGCATTAAGTACTTCGAATCTAGATAACTGCTTATGTTTTCAGTAATCTGGGGATTTTCGATATAGAACAAGTTAAACAGAATAATTACCAGTTACAGACTTACTAAGTTCAATACGCAAAAGGTACAGAAATCATTTATTGAAGTTTAAATGCGATAGCTAAAAAGAGATAAAATCAAAATTCCATTTCATTTACATTCGATTACAACATGAAAATAACATGTCGAGACCACGTTTGCATGATCTTTTTTTTTCTAAAAGGCTTCAGAATTGAAACTCAAAAATAATGTAATGGAGTAATTTCGGTAAATAAAGTAGAGTCACACTACTTAAAGATTATGCTCAGTATCATTTTATATCTGTATGAAATTCATTTAGAGAAAAAATCACTATCCTGTATTTCACCGAAATGAATGCATAAAAAGTAGTAGCAAAAGACAACTCTATTGCTTTTAAACCCAAGATTTCATTGAAATTTGTACAAATAAACACCAAAAATTGAATAACTACGTCTTCTACTATTATATTTGTTTTCACAAAAGATCTTAAACAGTACGAAATAGCCCCCACAAGTTTCATTATGCAAGCAAGAAAGACTATTTAGACATCACAAACTTTATAAATGCGTTTTACATATTCAAAAACTGAAGGATAACATTATAACAAAAGCTCAGGGCTTCGTAGAGTACTTTTAAGTTCAGAAGAATTTGAAAATGTCCAAATACTGGAAAACTTTGATAAAATCCATGAAAATCTATGCAGCTCTTATTAATTGAAGAATTCATCATTAAATGGATCATTATTTGCTGTAGTTGAAACAACCAGTGGAGCAGAAGTTCGAGCTGGTATACATGGTGCCCGCGGGGGATCTACCATCACCATAGTTGCTGTTGATGTTGCATTTGTTGACACTGAACTTATGGCTACTTTTTTGGGTGGAACTACTAGCTCAGTGAATGGATTTTTTTTTGACTCAGGACCGGAGACCAAAGTATCCATATCGACAAGTTTATTAAATGCTTCTTCTAGGGTTGAGACCTTTTTTTCCGTCCACTGCGTATGCATTCTATAATTTTAAAACTAAAATCGACATTTTTATAGGTGAAAGTATTATTCAAAACACAACACTTAACAAAAAAAAGATATCAGTAAACCAGGAATTGGAAGTTTGCAAGAAGAAGAATTTTTACACATAACTGTGAACTCAAACAATAGGTTAACAATCCAATTCAAACAAGAATTACAGACCTTGGATTATTACTCGCTGGAGGTACAGTATTTTCATTGGTAGGCCAAGAAATTGCTGAATTAAAATTGTATGCTGGAGAACCTTGGAGAATTTTTAGAGCTTGTTGTGTGTTGAATGGGTCAGATTCCATCCTTGAGAGCGTATCATCTCGAACTGACGAAACAAACGGGTTGGTATCCTTAAAAAGACTATTGTTGTATTATAAAACTATTCCACAAACCCTAACACCTTCGCCCGCTAGAAGAACAATGTTTCCTACATCTGTAATATTAATATGGGAACATTTTCCAATTACTCTACTTCATATTATTAGTAAACAAAAGAGATATTATTATAGGATGCCATTTACAATGAATCTGTGTTTTTTAAAGCTTTTCGTATCAGCCTTTAACTGTATAATTGTAGTATTTAGATTGCATTGAAAATTTTTAGAATTTTAGATGCTACTACTGCGAATAACTATTGTGTGTTCGAAATAAACCAGACCGAGAAAGTAATAGCTTGATTTGCAGCTAATCCAAAAGTATCAGAAGAAGGCCAAACAGCTGTCACTGGCTGCACTGGGATTAAAGGCGATTGCTGGATGTTGAAGAGATTTGATGGTGGAACTGCTGGTGGTGGAACTGTCGGAAAAGACCTAGGATTGAAACCGTCGTCGAAAGGATCAGCAGGATTCTTTTGAGCAAATGATGAAACAGGCGGTGGTGGAAGAGGTGCAACAGTACCAGTTGATGTTGGATAAAGAGGAGCTGAAGGCTGTACAGAAGCGAATAGATCATTGGTCGGCCAAGAATCTTCTAAGAATGACGGAATGTTTTGTAACTGATTGTAACCCTGCTCAATATTATGAAGTTCAGACTCCAAGTCTAGTAAATCCGCTACCACAACACCATCATCAATTCGTACACCTCCCGCTGTTTCTGATTCCTGTAACAGTGAAAGGTGACTTAAACAGTATGATCATAAAAGTATAAATTTTTAAATCCTGTAAAAATAAACAAATGCACAAATTCTGTGATTCGATATATTTCTCTTGAATCTTTAATGCCACTACATTCATTTCAAATGAAGGTAGTAATACATAAATAAGCTTCCATAACTATTTTGAGCTAAATTATTCCTGATTATTAGATAAAATAAATGTTTATACAACTGTACATACTCGTTTCTGTTGCTCTTCTTGCTTTTGTTTGACCTCAGCAAGATGTGCTTTCTTCATTTCAAAAACTATTTGGAACATATCACGAATTGATAATACTGCACGGTCCGCCGTTTGTGCCGTTTTAATTCCTACAACATTCGCCCATCGACAAACGCGACAAATATTTTTCTAACACTTGGCAGTAGTTTTTCAAAACATATCAGTAGACTTAGCCAGACATAACGGTATCTTTCCCCTCAACTATCATACAATAATTCTTCAATTGCTGACAGCTACTTTACAATTTATTAGGTACCAAGACGCATAGCTAGTCGATGTTGTGTTACTACTACATAGTACTTAGCCACCAACAAAATGAAAAATTGAAAATTAGTCTTAAAGATTTCAAACTATAAAAACTACAGAAATAAGCAACAAATATTTTATAAAATCAGTTAATTGATGAAGTCTGCACGACTCTGTTTACTATATGATCTTTTCGTTACTATATTTACAACGGAAACTTGTTTTCGCAAAAACTGTTTGCACTAACCATAAAATTTATACTTATTATCTGTACAACCGTAAATGAAACCAAATGCACGCGCGTCCGTTGTGTCACGCGCTATGAAGGATATTCGTGAAACAGGAAAATTATGCAGAACAGTCTGAAAATATTTTACAAAGTTTACAATAAGTTCTTCACTAGTATGGCATGAAAATTGCAATTTAATTTGCAAATAATTAGTGATTATTATTAGTAACAATGACTTAGAATGCTATCAAATTACTGCCAAACAGAGGTATTTTGAGGCAAAATGAAGATAATAAAGTCATTTTTTGATAACTAACTGATGAAATGAATACTGATTACGAATAGGAAAATTTGATAGAGTAATAGAAACCAAACTTTAAGATAAGGAAATAGTTTTTGAAGAATTAAAAAAACTGTATTCACCTGTGTTTTTTCATCCTTGATTTTTAGGCCTTCAATAGAAATAGTAAGAATGATTCGTTGTTTATGGTGTCCTGCACTTTTAACAGCTGCTTTCGCAAGCCTCATAGCTTCAGCGCACATTGCGTCCCCTCGAGCTTCATCCACATCGCGTACACCAATTAACTTGCCTTTGAAGTCCACTCCATTCCCTTGGAATCGAAATGGATCATTGCTGGATACGGCTGAAGAAGAAGCAAATAAAAATGGGCGCACTTGACAAAATTAACAAAATAAAAATCTCAGAGGTGACCGGTAAGTTATACTGTAAGTTGGAGAATTATTTTTCATTCAGATAATTAAAAAATTAACAGGTATGCGTAATTTCTCCCAAAATTAAAGTTCCCACATCATTTATTTACACAAAGCAAAGAACAGTTTAATTTTAACAAATGAAACATTAGCTGAAATATGATAAAAAAATATTCAAGATGGCTTCGAATAATAAATAAATACGATCGGAGTGATATAAATTCTGAAGAATACGCAACAATAATATAATGTTAGCAGATAATTTTACCCAGTATGATTTGCATTCATAAAGGTATTATTACGCTGAAAAATTCTCAAAAACACTCCCAATACAGAAAAATATGGTAACTATGAAATTGAGAAAAAGAAGTTAATATTTGATAAACAGTGACTTGTGACAATAATTTAAATTGTTGTTCTGTATAAGTTACAAGGAAAGGATTTAATTTTAATTGTGGGAAGATACTTCTAATAACAGCGAAATGCAATGAGCTTGAAGGACATCCACGCATTTTACAGTATGGAATAATGCGTACTTGAATAGTTCTGCTTAAAAGGAAACAAACAATATCGAAAGCTGCCCAATTTATGTTATGAATCAAAAAAAAAAAATTCTGAAAGAAAAAGACATTTACTTACAATAGAGTAAAATTTCAAAGATGAAATTACTTTTCAATCTAATAGCATGCAAACTATAAAAACAAGTAAATCGTTAAATATTAGTAATGCGTTTAAGCTCTATCATAAATACGCTGAAGTGTAAGTGCTCAGATGTTCAAGATTAGGAAGAAATGATATAAAATATGGGCAAACCTTTACACTTGGTCGATGACCGTTTCAGCATCGCCAGTCTTGCCCTTGGTGAGTTCGCTCTGTTATTTCCCGATGACCCATGCTGCTGTTGTGACTGCTGTTGCTGCTGTAGTACTGCACTTACTGCAACTGCAGATGCAGTGCTGCCAGCATTGCCATTAGCTTTTTCTTGTTCCTCTCTGAGACGACGTTGTTGCTGAAAGCCAACCATTGCACGTTCTCTGCTCTCCGTCTTTTTCTCTCCTTTCCTCCTAATTTGCACACACTCCTTCTTGAAATAAAAAATCTTTATCAAAATTGAAACAGAAATTATTATTACATTGTGATAGACAGACAGGTTGGTGATTACGTTGGCTACCTCGTGATTCAGTTACTGATATAATTTTTGTAGGTCTAAGCAATCTTCATTATTTCCTGTCTTTAACATGTTAACAACATTTGCCAATTAAAATATCATACTTTCATTCTTTTTTCTTTACATTTTCGTCCTAAATAATTCCTTCGTTTTCCTCAGGACTGTATTTTCAAAAGGACAAAAATTTGTAATGTACTCAAACAATAACATCCATTTACTGTTATTTCAAAATAGATTAAAAGTACGTATTGATCCACATCACTACATTTTCTATATATATATATATA